AAAAAAAAACTAAATGCTCTCTGGTATTGTTCTGGGGGCCGGACCAAATGGGGAGGCGGGCCGGATCTGGCCCTCGGGCCGTAGTTTGGGGACCACTGACTTAGAATCTTTTGTCTTTCAGTGGCTAGTCACAAGAAGACTAAATCAGTCTGCTTCAAAGCTTGTTATAAAAGGTGAACAGGTGTCTTCAGCTATCAAAAATATATTATACAAACGTACTAAACATATTCCTCCAAATGTACACCATCCCATCCATACAGCAGTGTTTAATCCAGAGTAGCAGAATAAAATTGCAGAAGTGAGTGAAACCCACATGAGTCATGAAGCTCTGGAGAGTCCACTTCATCCCACACGTTCACTTCCACCAACTCAGTCCTGCTGCTTCTTTACCTCACATTTATGAACTGKTTTTTTTTAAATCAAACATTTTTGTGTGTTTTTTTCTTCTTGTCTGTTTTTCTGTTATCCAGTCACTCTCTCACTCACACCTATAGGGACAATTTAGAGTTACCAGTTAACCTAACAGTCATGTCTTTGGTCGGTGGGAGGAAACCAGGAGAAAACACACACGTGCACATAAGATACCATGCAAACTCTACCCAGAATGGTTCTTGCTCCAAGAAGCAACAGCTTTTCCAACTTTGTCACTGTGCCACTCATATCCAAGGTAATATTATTTCAATCGAAAATATTAATTTCAAATTTGAGGATGTTTTTCTTTTGTGTTCTCAGATGTTACATGAACCATTGGACGGGTTTTGATGAACGCCTTAGAAAGTATTCATTGGAAGCACATCTGCTGTGTATTATCTTAAGTGGTTGATCGTRTTCATGACACTGTAGCCGCTACAATTAATCAATCTTAGACAAAYCAAACGTGGCTRTAACTCACTCAGTTTTAGGGRTGTTGAGATAAAATTTGGTGTGGTAGCTGAGAGTCATCTTACAATGTTGRAAGGAAACTGAGTTACTCGGTCAAAAACATTTCTGTTTTTTTTAGTGCACTGCACCTTTAAAGCGTTAGAGCCTAACGATCATATTGGTTTTGTCTTGTGTATGCAGAACTTTGTCTAACCTCTCAAAAACTTTGAATATTTACTACCTTGAATGATGTAAGTTCAAAATTATTTGCATTTTTTACATTCAATAAAACTTTTAAAATACATATGGTGACATAAAGTGATGAAGCTCTCCCTTTCTTTTGTYGCTCTATTTACAGCCAATAATGTAAAAGAACTTTTAATTAGTTCACTTTTTGGTTCTTTGGGTTCTTTACTTTAATTTTTTAAATTATTTCATCAATCAATCATGTGACCACTGAAAAGTAAAGTAACAGCGCTCATCTTGAGATAGAAGAAAAACTAAACAAAACAAAAAATACCCTTCATTTAAGCTTTTTTTTTGTATTTCTGTTTTGCAGCTTGAAGTCAACTCTCCAGCCAACAAAGTGTCTCTGGAGGATTTATAACAACAACAACAAAAAGTTACAGCTCAGGGCCTGGAATGCTATCCTGCTTGGCAGCTCACCCAACATCCTCAACCCCCAAAACTAATTTTAGTAAGGATTTACACCTCACTCAGTTTTTGTTTCACACATCCAAAAYACCCACTAATTGCCTTTTCACCAGGACACACCCAGTTTCAAAAGTCAGCCTGCGGGTTGTTTTAGTATTTATCAAAAAACTAGTTCCATCAGCTCCCTCAAAAAAGAAATAAAAAACAATTCTGATGTTATGAATCATTTTTAACCATCATTAAAATTACTTTTGTAGAAATAAAAAAAGACTGGCTCTATCTAACTGGATAAAGGAATTGCGTCAGAGGCCAACTTTTACGTTCTCGATGTGTTTCTGTGTTTCTTGACTGGTTTATGGATGATGGGTCATTTTTAAGACAGTTAGATTAAAGCAGTTTGTGTTAAAAAGATARTTTAGATCTTTTGATGTGGGGTTTTGGGGAAAAGTAGTGATTAACTTGCTGCAGGTAACTGTCAGAATGGCCTCAATTTGGAGAAATAAAGTTTAAAGCACATATGTCAAAAAAGATTTCATATCAACTGCAAACTTGTATGAATTAATGCAACAAAATAAACAAATTTGAAAGGTGAAACATAATATTTGTCCAGCCTCTGAGCTGTTGACTTTGAGTAACTGTGGCCCCCCTGAGCAATCTAGCTGAATAGCCCTGTATTAATGTCTCAAAATAAGCTGCTTTAAAGCCAACAGTGTTTATAAGAAATGTTAAAATGCTGTTTCTATGCAGGAAACACCAAGTAGAGCTCACTTATTATTTGTTAGCGGTGCTCAGTTGTAGCAATGRTACGAGGGATGTTACGGTTCAYGTTTTAAGTCAAAGTTAAACATGAAACCTCCAAGTTAATTACAGCTGACCTTTTGAGAGCCAACATTACGCTCACGTGGCCCTCGATGAAAATGAGTTTGGCACCATTTTTCTAAACAAACCGACAGTTTAAATAGTTATCTGAGTGTGAATAACTCYTATTTTAAATCAATTCGTCATAATTATACTGTAGTAACGTTGATCCAAAGAAACAAAGAGTTCAGTCTAAACTGAAGGTAATGTAAAGATTTATAAAATAACATTCACACAATTTGTCGTAAAAAATTGTTGTTTTAAGATGTTTAAGATGCCAACACTTTGGTCCGACTCAAACCAATTAGCTTGTTGATCAGGTCAGAATTAAACTTTTGTTGAAGCTCAGGACGTTTGGGCCTAATTTTCCTTTTTATTTATTTATTTTGTTATTGTTTTCAGTAATTTTCTAGGCTTTTTTCACAAGGCTGGGACCTAGACATCGTCTGGCCTCCTCTGTGTAAGTTTTAAATACACCGAGGCGGCAAGGGTGGGTTGGAACCAGCCCACCCCCGATGTGCCTCTGTCTCACAAAGCAAGTTGGTGACAGAGGTGAAACAATGGTGAAATAAAACAAGCCGGTGCCGTGGATCACTAATGTGATAAAGTGATGACATCGGGTCTGTGTGACCAACTGTCGCAGGATTAATCAACAGCAGATTTATTACTGAGGGAGAATGGATGATGAGGCGCATTAACTTTGTATTTAATYAACCACAAAGAAAATAAACTGAACTGAGTTAAATCATCGTGTTTCGAAAACTAGAGGCAGACGTCCATCTTATGTTGAAAGCATTGCGCTCCACTTTAACGCAGCTGAGCTCTGCTCACTTCATTTCTAAAAGCTCATGTCGGTGCAAGGTCAAACTGGTCCATGAGGCCGTTTCACGGAACAGTTTTAAAGAACAGCCTGTTACGTCTATCATAATTCTGCTTCCTTGAATTTGGCTTCCTGGTTTTATTATTTTTTTGTAGCACAATTTTGTTACATTTGTGTTCACTTTGCTTCCTGTTTAAGCTCCATTTAACACCTGAGTGCAATTTAGATTTATTATTTTATTAGCTGTGCCTGCATTTTAGGATCTACATTTGGCCTATTTCTTTTGCACTTTGTTCCATTACYTCATTCCTCGGTTCTGTAATCTGCAGGTCTGAAGAGTTCTTTTGGACTTCCTGCTCTGTTGCGCCTTTATCAAAGTTCATTTTAGTTCAGTATTACTGACCTGAGTCAGCTGGGCTTTTTCGGGAGCCTCTCACAAAGAGCTATCTGCAACAGGCAAGATGGTGATTCTTCCATTTCCTTTCCACAGAGCCCAGCTAAATCATATAAAAATAAACTGCATGTTACTCTTTGTAACAAACTGACACACACACACCATGTTTGTAACAATAAATTATTTTTTCCCCTCTATATTTACATCTGTACCTAATGTGCAAATTAACATTTTAGTGTAAAACTCTTAAAGGAATACAAAATAATATCTTACAGTCCTAACATGGTGAGAGTCCATGAACTCTAGTCACATAGAAACAAGGAGGAGCAACACTGCAGTGTGCACAGCAGAGAGAGAGAGAGACAGAAGCAAACAAAGGGAGCAGTGGACATCCTTGGCCAGGACACACTCTGTTAAGGACAGCATGATAAACGGTATCCAAGCATCACCGGGACAAACAGCAAACACAAACACTTGCATTGTTACAAAAGTCATGTCAAAATGAGCACTTGGAGGCCTGTCTTTTATTGAATTCTTGTTTTTTTTTTAAATCCCACTGATTGATTAAAGCACTAATGATCACAAAGGCTTGAAGGTGCTCGTAGCAGCAGGGTGCTTCTTTTAACGGCCTCTAAGATATGGAAGAAGGACAAAATCTCACACTGGACCGATTTACACTGCAGGTCACCACGTAGTGCTGAGAGCATGACTGCACATCGTGTTGTTGGCGTGTGTGTAGGAGGTAAAGAGACATGTAATTACACTTCAGACAAAAAAAAAAAAAAACACATCAGCCTGCCGTCACGACTCAGTTTGTCTCTAAACACATTTACCGGGTTCTCGGAGAAACACACCATGAACACTGCAGATCTGAGAAGCGGATCAATCCGAGTTGCGTTGYTCCGTGTTTGGCACAGAATGTTTCAGGAATTTGGATTTCAATAAGCCAGCTTGGCAGTGTTTGTGGATTTTAGGTCGTCGGTTACATGCGAAGATGTGAAAGTATAGCTTACACAAGAAATCCAATTTTGACCCTTCCTGGACACGGCGAGARCAAAATTACAGTTAACAGAAAACAAAAACTGAAAAACAACTCAACACTTCATCCTAACCCAACGTTACAGTCTRAAATGTTCACACTTTTAATTCCTGTATGTCAAATTTGTTTACAAAAAAGCACAATGTGATGCTTGTTTACAATTTACAAGACACAGTTAACTACAGTATCCATATTATCGGTGCATAGACAAAATTGGGAGAGAGTGTAGCAAAAAAGGACCACCAATTTATTGCTTTTAAAGWCTAATATTAATCCCCCACCCCCTCGTTTGATTTCTTTTTGATTGCAAAACAACTACAAACATCCCGCAGAGACTTGGAAAGAACCAGGCAGAGGTATTGCATTCAAACTGATTAAAAGAGCTAAAATGTCCCTTCCTGATGAGATGCAATTCTCCAGTAATTCAAAAAAAAAAAAAATAAAGACCTTTCCCTGTTACGTACTGATAAATTACACCAGAGATAACTTTTACTCTAAAACAAGTAAAAGACTAAATTTAATGAGACCAAAAGAAAAGAAAATGATAATCTGGCCAAAGCTGCTCACTGTTTCACGTTCTGCTCCCCCCCCACCACCAGAAAGTAAGAATTTTTACTAACAAGGGCGGGGCGGACAGGAACACACGAGCGTTATTGGACAAACAGGGAACATGTTGGCGATCTCTAAATGCGGAGTGCAGATGGTGTCGTTCCCTCGAGTCTCCCGCAGGCCGTGTTGTGGCTGAAGCAGCGGTGATGGCTATACAGGCCTCTGCACTTTGCTCTCCCTCTCCCTGCGCTTCAGCTCCTCTCGGTAGCAGTAGGAGCAGTAGTTGTCCGTCTCGGGCCTCCCGTAGAAGGAGCAGTTCTCCCTCTTGCAGCGGCGCTGCTGGAAGCAGTACAAGGGGCTTCCAGAGCTCCGCCCTTTGGTTTTGTCTTGGCCGAGCCAGCTGTGAGACGCGTTGTCCTCGTCAGCGAACTCGAGGCAGTCCTGAATGTCGGCCGCGTTGAACCCGTTGGTGTACGTGTGGGACTTGTGTTCGCCGGGCATGCTGTAGGCCAGGGCTTCCAGGGTGTTGACGGTGCGGACCCCCGACAGGCGGGCCGGGCTGTAACTCTGGGACGAGAGGGTGCGGTTCTGCTGAGGGTAGGTGGCGCACGTTTTTAGGGTGCCCACCACGGGCTTATAGGGCTCGTCGTGGAAGATGGAGGATTGCACGTTGACATCTTGTAAGTGAATGACGCTGTGCCTCTGAATGGGCGGCGTATGGCTGTAATGGGCGGACACAGGAACGGGCCCAGGTCTCTTAGCACCAATGCTGGGGGAGGAGTAAGGCGCGGGGACGGGGGCCGGGTGAGAGGCGTGGTGGGAGGTTGCTGGCGGGGTGAGAGGCGGGGCTGGAACAGGAACGAGCGTGGCTGCAGGAGCGGGGCTGTTTCTGCCCTGCGTCTTGAGGCCCAGCAGGGGCTGTGGGTTGCTGCAGGTGTGGTGGGGCAGGACCGGAGAGCAGCTCTCCGGGGGCGAGCTGTCGGACCTCTCCCTCTGGAAGACGCTCTCGTGCTCCGGCTTCTTCGCCGCCACGTCGTTGGCGGCGTGCGGCTTCTTCTCGGCCTCTTTCCTCTTCTGCTCCTGCTCCTGGCTGAAGCGCTCCTGGGCGTTGGTGAGATAGTAGCTGATCATCTCCTCGTGGAACTGGTGGCGGTGGCTCGTGAGCAGGAGTCCCGCGAAGATGAACTTGCGCTCCCCCTGCATGGCGGCCCGCAGGATGTTGAGGCTGAGCTTGACATCTGTGCTGTACCTCCAGCTTTCCAGGGTCCTGTCGCCTGAGCTTTTCCCTGCACTGTCCTGTCTCTCTGTCGGGGAYGAGCTGGAAGGTCTCTCCCCGTCTGTAGGGGAGGGACTGGTGGCTTTCTCAGAGGAGGTAGAGCTGGTCGACTGGCCCGACTCCTCCTTGCTTCCCTTGGTTGTCTTGGACTCCTTCTTCTTCGCCTTTTCCCCTCCGTTGTCCCCGTTACGACCTGAGCCAGAGTTGGACTTGTTCATCTTGCCATGCACAAGCCCCCCGAGACCACCCATGTTCTTCTTCAGCTTGATGCCCAGTGTTTTGCTGAAGCTTCCAAGTCGATTGGCCACAGAATCGGTTCGACCTTTGTCCTTGTCTTTGCGTTGCTTCTCCTTGTCCTTCTCTTTGCCGGGCTTGCCYGTGTTGACGTTTGAGTTGCTGCCGATAGACTCACGGTCAGAGTCCATGGACTCGGCGAGGGACTGGACATCCTCACCTGCAGAGGCTGTGGGAGACTCTGGCTGAGCCAAGGGAGCCTGAGAAAGAGGAAACAATAATAAAATGTCTATACTTAAGAAGTGGATAAGTCTAACTAAACTCCTTCTAGATAAATTCTCCTAAAAATGTTCAAAAAGCACCAAATTGCCCATATCTGATGACTCACCAGCACATCCATAAACATGAGAGATTTTTTGCATTCTGACAGTAAATAAAACTGACTGATTGGACTCTTGGGTCTCAAGTACATCTGGAATGACTGAGTCTCTCCAAAGCTAAAATTACCGTGACAAACATGACACACATGCAAAGAAATACTAACCCTTGTTTCAGAGGGGATTTGGATCCACGTTACATTCATGTAGTTGTGCAGCAGGTTGAGTTTGGCCTCCAGAGACAAGATTAGACTAAGAAAAACAGACAATTCCCATATTTAATATCCAATATTTGACGATGTTTCACAAATGTTTTTTTAAGAAATGGCTCATACTGTAGGTCTGCAGATATTTATAAGTTCTACACACAATGTACAATTGTAAATCCAATTTCAGCTTGTTTGAGGATAATCCCAACACCTGACTAAAAGGAATGTGAAACTGAAGCCCTTAAATAAGCTCTCTAATAAACTCAGAGAGGGTGTTGCTGCTTTTTTTCTGAGGCCATTCCCTGGAAACACAATGCACGCCTGACGTGACTCACAATTTGTTCTCTCGCTGCTCGCCCTTTGAAGTGACAGAAACCCGGAGCTCATAATCAGGGTTAGATCCTCCGCACAGAGCCTTGCAGCGGGACTGACAGATCTGCCCCTGTCTGCAGTTTGCACCCATCTTTGAAACGGCAACAACAACTGATGTACGAGACTTACCTGGCCAGCTTGGCGTTATCGTTATCATCCTTTCCCCACTCCCAATCTCTGCCGGGATCCACGGCAAAATGGAGCGCCAGCAGCTTGTGCTCAGAGTCGGTCAGAGGGATAACGGCTGGAAGAGATGAAGTTATCAGAACATTCCTTCAGTCCAGCTTTAACAAAAGATTTGAGACTACAAGAATACAAACACCATATGCAATAAACAAAAGTGCCAAAACAGGTGCTGGATGGAGCTCAAAGTTTAGCGGTCTTGTCAAAAGACACCCCCCCCCCACAAAAAAACGGAATTATTCAGAAACATGAGTGAACTTTCTGGTATCAGAACATCTGCACATGCATGATGACAACAAACTCTGAGGACGCTTTTATTGAGAACTATATTGTGCCACTGTGCTGCTGGAGCGCCACCCTTCCTTTATATAATGTAATTATTACTGAAAAGAAGGCAAATTAGTAGAAAAGACATCAAGATGGCTTAAAGGTGCATCAAATACAGTATACAAAAAAACATATTTTATTAATATGTCTTTAATGAAAAAACATAAAAAAACCTCATCAGTTGAAACGTAAGGTTATGAATATAACCACGGTTCCTTGAAGGAATGGAACGAAGTACAACACACAGTTATATACGTATATGGGACACGCGCGCCCTCGCGCACCTGGCTGAAGCCACCTCTAATCACGTCTTTAGACCGGTGACRTGGTGACGTTGAACGTTGGGTGTCAGGCTCTGCCTTCACCCTATAAGTTCGGAGTCACCAGCGTCATTACTCAGTTAGATACCGCCCTTCACCGAGCTTTTGTGATGCGGTGCCAACAAGGTGTTGTACTTCCACAGAGAGGTCCCAAGAGGGAATACTGGGTTTAATAGCAGGCCGTAGCTTACGAACCTATTTCAGAAAACGCATGGCTAAAGGATGAGCACCAGGTGTGAYTCCATCAAAACCTACATGGCAGGCAGAAATGGCTGCTAAAGTAGACTTTAATTGTGGAGAAGGAGAGCCCTTTATTCAGTAGCTCCTGAAGAAATGTTAAAACATCTCCTATTGCGCACTGAAAAGGGTCCAGGTGCCGTTCTTACACCATCGCTCAAAAGCTTGCTACTTATAGGAATATAATCCTCTAGTGGATGAAGTTCTTGCGTTTTGGATAGTTGCTATTACTGCTGGAGAAAGGCCTTTGGCTAATAAGCTGGACCTTTCAGCAGGTAAGCATGCAGCTTCCATAGTTCTGGGTGTGGGTGAAAAATCTCCCCCTCTGCTTGAGAGAGGAGATCTCGTCGAACCAGAAGTTACCAGGGTTGAGCTGCTAGCAAGCTGATCATCTTGGCGTACCAAGACTTCACTGGCCAGCGGGGTGCCACTAGGATCAAAGACAGGCTCTGTCCGCGCACCCTCTCTAGTACAAGTGGTATCATTTCCACTGGGGGAAACACATACAGAAGTACATCGGGCCAAGGAGGAGCTAGGGCGTCCACTCCCAGAGGAGCGCTCTGCTCTGTCATGGAAAAGAACAGAGRATAGTGTGTGTTTGCTCTGGAGGCAAACAGATCTACTGTCGCTTTGCCAAACAAAACCCAAATCTGGGCCACCACAGTGGGATGCAGCCTCCACTCCTTTGCTAGAGGTCCGCCCCTGGAGAGGAGGTCTGGACCTAGGTTTAGTCTCCCCGGAACATGAATGGCTCTGATAGACAGAAAATGAACACTGCTCCACTGTAAAAGAGTGTGAGACAGGTTCAGCAGGGGAAGGGACTGAGTCCCCCCTTGTCTGTTTATATAAGAGACCACTGCTGTATTGTCCGTTCTGATTAGAAGATGATGGTTTTCCAGAACTGGACAAAAATGTTTCAGTGCTAACAGGACTGCTAACAATTCTAGGCAGTTTATGTGGAGCCTGGACTGTTGTGGAGTCCAGGTTCCCCTCACCACCGCGCCGTCGCACAGGGCTCCCAAACCTTTCAGGGAGGCATCTGTGGACACCACTTTGCGAAACAACACCCTCTCTGTTGGAGAACCCTGATACAGGAGGCCGGGTTCCCTCCAGGGGCTGAGAGCCGTCATGCAGGAAGCAGTTATTGTTAGCTTTTTGTGTCTGTGTCGAGATGGACACAGCCTGTGGGACTGAGACCAACGCTGAAAACGGCACATTTTTAACAGCCTGAGTGGTACTACTGAAATCATGGAAGCCATCATTCCCAGTAACTGTAGTACGGTTTTGAAGCTCAGTTTGCGTCCCAGTTGAAACTGAGCTAAGCAACGGTGAAACGCGGCCGCTCTGTTCTCTGAGAGGTGAGCCCTGCTTGACAAGGAGCAGATTTCTAGTCCGAGGAACGAAAACTGCTGACTTGGTGTTAATAGACTTTTCTGGGTGTTTACTAAAAACTCTAAACCTGAATGTGTGACAGAACCTGAGACAGCTGATCTAATGTTTGCTCCCTGGAGCTTGCGATCAGAGCCCAGTCGTC